TATTGAATGAGGTGTCTCAAGTTAGCAAGAGGCCAGGGAACCAGAATGAACACTCGGGAAGGGCCGTTTCTGGCCATCTGGGGGGTTTGTAAAACCAAAAATTTTCTTGTACGCTCTGCGCCAACCGATGGTCGCGCTCCGCTCAGATAGTCGTGCCTACAACTTTTAAATTCGTGGCTACGCCCCTGACGGGGTTCATTGAAATTTCGTGAGATCGCATGCAAAATGCATGCGCTGCTAATGCAGCCCGTATGCCGCTATTGGCGCGAAAAAAAACCTACCGTTTCCTTCTACATGGCTTTACCTTGCTACTGATATGTGTATACATTCACTTCAATCGTTATTCACTTCTTAAAAGATTGTTTTTCAGGCCCCGCTTCATTTCACTTTCGTAAATTACATCGCCATTTACAAACAATCAGACCAATCAGAGCGAGTCTTACAATAGCCTGGTTCTCGCTTGTATCTGTGGCGCTGCAGGAGGGCTGATAGACTCGCTCTGATTGGTCTGATTGTTTGTAAATGGCGATAGAATTTACGAAAGTGAAATGAAGCGGGGCCTGAAAAACAATCTTTTAAGAAGTGAATAACGATTGAAGTAAATGTATACACATATCAGTAGCAAGGTAAAGCCATGTAGAAGGAAACGGTAGGTTTTTTTCGCGCCAATAGCGGCATACGGGCCGCATTAGCAGTGCATGCATTTTTCATGCGATCTCACGAAATTTCAATGAACCCCGTTCTATCCCAATAACCCCCACCAAAATATTAAAAAGGTTATATGGGACAGAATTATTCGGTCTAGTATTTCTGGAGACAGGACTGCCATTTTACGTGGTCTTCCGAGCCACGGGAGATTCACAGTCTCCAATGTTGAGAGCCAGGTTTTTACACCTTGAGAAAATTCACTGCCCCGACCGGGGTTTGAACTCGCAGCATTCATTGGACAGTGCATGATGCCTACCACTGGGCCACGGAGGCTCCCATATGTGTGGAACTGTCGACCGGGTACCAGTCTACACTCCTGTCACAGCATAAATCACAGCCTTCTGAGGTCACAGCCACAGGCACTTGGAGCATTTCAATAAAATATAATGCTAAAATAAATACGAAATCTATTTACTAACAAAGTCTTAATGTTTCTCTACTCTCTTTCACCTTATTGCCGACAATTTCCTGTAAATGCCGTCCAAATGCTCATCTCCAACAAACGCTGTCTGCCGCTGCACACTGACACATAACTCATAAGTCACAAATATATAGGCCTAGTGTCATATATTTATTTATATATTTATGCATCAGTGGGTCTGTGTGCAGCGGCAGCCATGGCGGTAGCTCTGCGGCAGTTACTGAACGCGGGCTATAGTACTATAGAGTACAGCTACCATGGCAGCGGCATCCAGCGTTTGTTGGAGATCAACATTTGGACGGCATTTACAGGAAATTGTCGGCAATAATAGGTTAAAGAGAGTATATAGAAACATTAAGACTTTGGTAGTAAATACTAGATTTCGTATTTATTTAGCATTATTATATCGAAACGCTCCAAGTGCCTGTGGCTGTGACTCCTGACGCTCGTAAGGTCTATGTCCCCCTGACCTCTGTTTGACCTGGCTCGTTTAGCTATTTCTGACTAGAACCCTAACCCTAACCCTAACCCTAACCCTAACCCTAACCCTAACCCTAACCCTATATATATTATATGTTATATACAGGGAATAAAATACACGGGAGCGACAAGCGATTTCGCTCTGGTAAGCTCTAAAATCGCCCTGGTAAGAACAATAACGGGAGCGATCGCCCGAGAGAAAATCGCTCCTGTGGCCTGCTAAATTGAAATGTACACAAGTAGGCCCTACGTACGTACACCGAGCGCTACATATACACCAGGAGTTTATAAGATAAAGGTTATCTCATTAACTCCTGATATACACCGTGCTGGGTTTACACTGCCGGTTATATGCAGTCAAGTTGGCGTTTTTCCTTTTTGACCCGTAGCGCGCGGGGCGACGCGGATACGCATTTTTGCATGTATTACATGCTGCCAGCGTGGCGCCTAAAGCAAACACGTGTTCTCCTCCTAGAGTGGAGGGACACACCCCTGATTGCTGTTGTCTGATTGGCCACTTGGCAAAAAATCGTCCAACTCGCCTGCTCCGAGTTAGGGAAATTAGAACATGTTGTAATCTTCAGACTCGATCACTGCTATTGATCGGCTGGACGTGCGACTTTTGCGTTTACACTGGGCCATAATAAAAATAGTGTTTGTTTGCCCTCACCCGACCGACCCGCCAAAAAAGGCTGACTCAAACAATTTTATTGATCTTTCCCATTCTTTTTTTTTACAAATTTTATCACTGTAAATTATATAAATCTGTAGGCAATACATTATATGTACCAAGCAAAACAAACATTCAACATAAAAGGTATCTCCACACAAGCACACTCGAGCATGTAGACACCAAGCTGAATGTAGACACCACAGTTGCCAAACTGCCAAGTTCGTACAATTTGGCAACTCAAAATCGTCAGTGTAAACAATCTTTGGTGTAAACCCAGCTTATGTATCCGCTGCAGCTGGCGCTGGCTAGATCAACCCGCTGACGCAATAAAATACAATTGATAATAAAAGTTATACAACAGAGTGTAGAACTAGAAACTGTTGACACTTTCATTCATATTTAAATTTAACTTGACAATAATACCAACTGAATCCAGCCTTGTATTAATCTGCAATACGATGTGGTGACAAGTGCATTCACACATTGTCTGTTGAAACTATGAATGATAGTCAATGATATATTATATGCTGACAGATGTGATGTGATGTCACAGACTCACAGGCACACATCTCTGTGAGACTGTGACAAATTAACCGTGTACTTTCTTATTTTGAGACTGAAAAAAAAAACTGCACACTGGTATTTTTTAGCTCATCTGATGAAGTCAGATGCAGCTTGTAGCATGACAGAAATTTGGCGAAGAGGTAAGGTGCTCCAGCAATTAACCTTTTGACCCTCTTAAGGAGAGGTTGTAAATAACATGGATTATTGATTGACCTCGTCCTGTTAATGAAAGAAATTTGACTGCCAGGGTTTAGCTGCTTAGTAGAATCTATACATGCTGGAATCGCTATGAGGCCTACAATTGTCACAAGTGAAATTCCAAAGAAGCTTAAATTTGGTGTAAAGAAGGTTATGCTGCTCTTAAATCGTATAATTTCATGCAATTCTGAGTACTGTCAGTATGTTACATGTAACCGTATGCATGCAGTGGCTGACTGCCAAGTTGCATGTCGGTATTGGTAACTAATTTCAAGGCGGTATTGCTGGTACTTGCAGTTACGACAAAAAAGATGTCAGAATGATTTTTGAGTGGCCTGTCGTGTTAAATCCTGGGTTATCAGGAGGCAGCTCTCAGAGAGCTCTCATGCAGGCCTGTAGGCTTGCGTAGGTAATGTAGAGGCTATGCCCGGGGCGCCCCTAACATACAAAACGAGGAAGTTGGCGCGCATTGACGACGTCGGAAAACAATCGTCAACGGTGATCGGCTGTCCGGCATGGTTGTTTTTCCAAATGGATCAACCAACCGCTGCCGAACTGCTCATAAGTACAGGAAGCGGCTGTATGGATAGCAGGTGTACAAATGGTCCGCATAGTAATTAATTAAGACTAATTCGTGCTTCAAGTAACTCAAGAATTTACAGAGAATTATAGCTAAAGCACATGTGTCTATGTGTAGCACTAGATTTATAGAAATTGCAAAAACATAATATTAGCAGGCTACGACGAGGTGGAGAGTGAACAAGGCATCTTATTGTCGAATTACAGTGACATCTTGCTGGGTGTTTATGAGCGCTACGGGTATAGAAAGTGTACAATTAAGCTTATCATGATGGGGCGGGCCGAACTAGTACAGATTTGAAAGTATACTCAAAACGTTTGATCGTGAGAAATCTAGATACAATATAAAACATGTGTTATCTAGATCTCTGTGATTCTTTGGAGTTTAATTGAAGCGACGAGTGGTTTAAATTAATTAGCAAGTTGTCTACGCGCGGCGGGTGCGGGTATCGCACGAGGCCTGAATATTATATATACGTCACGGCTATTGGGCGGTAAGAAAGTGTAGCAATTGAAACTATCCTCATATGGCCGTCGCAACGAGATTTCGAGTTACATTCTATCAAATCTAGCTACACATAGACACATGTCTTTAGCGCTATAATCAATCTGTAATTATTTGAGTTTATTGAAGCACGATTAGTCTAATTAATTACTACAGACCATTGCTACAGCGCGTCATCCATACAGCGGTGTCTGTGCATTATGGAAACAACATGGAGTGCAAATCCTGAGTTGGCGCTACTAGACTCTCCCATGAGGCTACTATAGCGCGACGCTCGTAGGCCCTCACACCTCCTGCATCCAGTGCTCACCTATTCTGTGCTTGCGCAAATACAGCTTGTTGCTAATCTTCACGTAATGATGGAGCTTCATCTTTTTAATCTGAAGACACTTAAACGCTACGCGGGCCATCTCGTGGCACACTTTCAACAACGATGCCAAGCGAACCATTTCTTTTGCAGAAGGCTTCCTGATACGCATCCGCCTGTGCATCATCCACTGTTTCGCGCGTGTAATTCGTTGAACACATTCTGGGCACTAACAGGCTTTACTCAAGAAATGCCCACACCCACCACAGAGTCCCGCAGTAGAACGTTAGACCTGAGCGCTGTCGGCTCCAGCCGGCGGCAGCTTGTTATATAAAAAAACCATTTATTTGGCATACCAAAACGAAAAAGATTAACGTGAGTCATACCGTA